GCGTTATTAAAATGTTTTTTCAGGACAACAAGCAAGCAATCATTGCTCCTGTACATCGATGCTTACTTGCACATTTTTTACCAACTGAATTTGTTGGTAAAACGATATCCCGCGGATGAGGACCGAGTGACAACAGTAACACGACGCGATGTCTGGAAACTAGTACAGCTGGTTTATACGGATCTGATGAAATATGCAACAAAGGTATAACCTTAAAACTTTTACGGTAGCTTGATGTCGCTTCATGGAAACAATCCAGATACGATTTATTGGAATCTGGACACTTACTGCTTGGAAGATCGTAGTTCTTTATCATCAGTCGGTGAGCACCAAACGTTAGTAATCGTTACCCGAGAAAAGAAAACGATCACTTGTACATCCTCTAAAGGGGCGCACTAGACGGCATGGACAAATTTTAGACAGGCAGCTTAGGAGAATGTGATAACGTCCGCCTGATGGGTAGCCCTTTCCAAGCAATATCGAGGATAAATACTAGCACGCTGTCCGATTTTAGTCATCCTGGAGATAAAAATTTGCTAAATTTTGCCCAGAATCCATAAAATTTTGATCGGAAAATAGCTGAAAAAAACCAGAATGAAAACCGAAAAAAAAATCACATGGGCAAAAGTTTTTCGTCAACTACACAAAAAAAAGACCTGTTTCTGACTAACCCTCAATCCCGACCTGAAATGCCTGGGATAGCTGTTGATTCACAATGACTTCGACATCAATTTATAAATTTGAAAAAAAATTGGCCAGTTTATACAACAAGCATAGATAATCATGAGAACCACAAGTTGGCTATAAACTGCGAAAAATATATCAAAATACCCCCACTTTCAAAAAGACGGATGCACTAGGAAGTGATCCAAAGGACAGCACCCTGTAACGTAAAACCTTAAAAAAAATAATAACATACCTATATTTGCCATAACTTGTGCATTGTGTCGTCTACATCTATTGATCTTTACAGTAGGATGACAGAGCTAAGGAAAGTTTGCCTCATGCGCAATTAGTTCACAGCATCGTTTTACAG